TATATATATGTGTGTGTGTGTGTGTGTATGTGTGAGATAGACCTGTTTTTGTTAGATTGTGAGACCATTTTTTCTTGTAAATAGTATTGTTAAGTTTCTTTACTTTCCAATATTCAAAAGTATATAATTTTTTAATATCACACATATTATATATTTACGAACAATAGAATATTATAATATTTAATTAGAAAAAAATGATTTAACGGTCTCATAAAATTAGGACCGTTCCCATGAAATTTAAATCCCTTAATTCATTTGGTTTGTTTTGCAGTCTAATGAAATGCAGTCAAACTTTGCAACTAATAGTGTAGATCACTCAGATCCAGGTATCTTCAAACACACAACCATAATATTATTCCATTAATCTTTATAGATAGGATTTTATCACGACTAAGTAGTAGAAATGTTGGTTTAATGTATATTTGCATCATAGCCAAAAAAATGATGCTTTAACAAAGCAGTAACTTGAACGATGATATCACTATCCACTAAAGACACTTGTCAAAATGTACCATACATGTAACGCAATATATGCAACTTACTTAATGCTTAACCTATAACTGCAAAAAAAAAACACTTGCACGTTTTTCACAATGAGTAGCAACACAGTTATATCTATTTACTTATAATACCTTAAGGTACACTTACATTATTGACCAAAAGTAACAATATGTAACTTGAAATAGTAAAACATGCCTTATAAATATATCCTCAATTGTAGGAGATTGACCTATAAATGACGCAATCTTAAAGGAAATGTCCATAACAACTAACGATGGTGATATGATTAAAATTTTATATGCTCCGATCTAAAAGGAAACAACTTTAACAACGCACCTAAATTTTCTTTAACAATCATGACAAAATGTTTCTTCTTATATTAATAAAAGAATAGTTTTTAACATAAAATGTTTCTTCTTATATTAATAAAATTGTTGTGTACGAATCACTTCCCTTACACATATACTATCCATTTATACACATTCCATTAACCATGCATTTCAAATTCCTAAAACCTATAAGGCATCAAAAAGCTATAATTACTATTATGCCCTCCTGCTATTTTTTGAATTCAATTTATGTAATCCTTGCAAACAAGACATCAAAATAATTGACATATAAACTCAAATTAAAAAAAATTTATTGTTAATGGTATCCAATCTCTCATGTATTTTAATATGATAACCACCAAAATATATATATGACAACCAAACATTCCTTTATCTAAGGGATTAATATCTAGTCTAATATACCCCCCGCAGTCGAATCAGGAGGGTGGCGGACATTGAGATTGCTCTTGAAGTCGTCGAAAAAGTACGAGAGGTAACCCTTTAGTGAAGATATCAGCTACTTTGTAACGTAAGGTAATATGAAGTACACAAACTTGACCGCGAGCGACTTTCTCTCAAACAAAATGAATATCAATTTCAATATGTTTGGTTCTCTGATGTTGAACCGGGTTGCACAACAAGTAGACGTCGCTTACAATGTCACAGTATACTAATGTAGCTTTGGCCTGTGGAAGATGGAGTTCCAATAGAAGATTTCGGATCTAACAAGTTTCTGAAAGTACATTGACTCCGCGATATTTTGCTTCGGCGCTCGAACGAGATATAGTCGGTTGTCGTTTGGATGACCATGAAATGAGATTGTCTCCCAAGTAGACACAATAACCAGAAGTTTACCTCCGTGTATCCGGACACCCTGCCCAATCGGCATTCGTAGAAGCTAGAAGTGATGTGAGGGGCGACTTGGAGAGATGCAAGACATTATGTATGATACCTTGGATATAACACAAAATTCGTTTCAAGGCATTGAAGTGTGTCGTGCGTAGAGTATGCATATGCATACATACTTGTTGAACTGTATAACTAATATCCCGATGAGTAAATGTTAAGTAGTGGAGAGAACCCGCAAGTTGAAGGTATTGTGTAACCCCATCGGGTAATAAAGTGCCATCGATGGAACTTAATTTGGTATCGACCAGTGTGGAAGATGGGTGGCACGAGCTCATCCCGACCTTTTCTAAAATTTCAGTAGTGTATTGTTGTTGTGATAGGGAAAATGAACCTTTATAGCGCGTCACCAAAATCCCAATAAAATAGCTAAGGGGGTCAAGATCTTTCATTGCAAATTCTTGAGCCAACAACTTCATAAAGTCGTGGCATAGAAGATCTGGAAAGGTAACGAGCAAAATGTCGTCCACATAAAGTAGTATAAAATCCGTTTGAGTACCTTGTTTGTATACAAAAAGAGAGTGGTCACATTTGCTATGTTTAAAACCCAATGTAGACATGTAGTCATTAAATCGTTGATACCAAGCCTTTGGCGCCTGTTTGAGACCATATAACGATTTCTTCAGCAAGAAAACATGGTTAGGATAGCGACTATCACGAAACCCAGGTGGTTGATGCATGTATAGTGCTTCATTGAGATGTCCATGTAAAAAGGCAATCTTTACTTCGAGATGATGAATTTGCCTTGCATGCGATAAAGCTATGTAAAGAACCGTACATATTTTTCCGGTTTCACCACGGGACTGAAAGTTTCACCACAATCAATGCCTTCTTTTTGAACCTGCCATCACATACCAAACGAGCTTTGTATCGATCTAAAGAACTGTCAGATTTAGTTTTATGACGATAAATCCACATACTACGCACAACATTCATGTTATTGTTTCACGGGACTAACTCCCATGTGTTATTGTCAATAAGGGCCCGAAACTCGTCTGACATGGCCTTATTCCAATCCGGGTTTTCAAAAGCATTGTGAAGGGTACAGGGTAAAGGAGAGATCGATATCGTAGTGTGAAGATTGAAATGTTGTTTAGTCTTAGAAATACCTGACATGCTTCGCGTGTGAACCGTATGAACAAGAGGTCGATGAGCGGACTGAGAGGGAGTAGAGGTAGGGATTATGATTGGTTCTCACTGGACCTGGGTTGATAATGATGGTTGGGCTGGGGTGGGGCCTACTTGAGTAAGGTCGTAGAGGAGGGGGATGTGAGTTGGTGACAGTGGGATTGGAGTTGTTTGGGGAGGGGTTGGGATCAGACCATATGATGAGATGGGGATCTGAAGAGTTATGGTTTGTTACGGTCGTGGGAGGTGTAGTGGGGAGATTTTTGAGAAAGGGAAAATAGTTTCATCAAATACAATGTGACGGGTAAGTGTGATGGTTCGGGTTTGTGGAATGAAGAATTTGTACCCCCGATGGTTTGTTGGGTGCCTCAAAAAAATACAAGGCGTGGATCATTTATTTAACTTATGGATGGTGGTAGAGGGAGTTAGGGGATAACATAAGCATCCAAGGGTCCTAAGATGGGAATATTTCGATCGGAGGTTGTAGATAAGATGAGTAGGAGTGAGGTTATTAAGAAGTTTGCTAGGAAGAATATTTAGAAGATAGGTGTCATGTTATAAAGCGTGATGCTAAAAATTCAATGGCACGAAGGAACAACTAGTAAGGTTCGAATAATTTTATTGATTGAACGTATTTTCATAATTGAATACCGTTTTCAGAGCAAAAATTATGAAAATGTTGATTATCGTATTCCTGGCCATTATCGCATTGTATAGTTTTAATGGTGTAATGAAACTGAGTTTTGATTAAAGAAAAGAATTGTATGAAGGTTAGAAAGACTTGAGACTTTTTGGCAAGAGGATATGTCCACAAGAAATTAGTTTTATCATCTAAGAATAATAAATAATAACGATAACCATTAGATCTCAATACAGGTGTTGTCCAAATATCTGTATGGATTATATTAAAAGGCAAATGTGTACTAGAATTAGAAATAGAGAAAGGAAACTTTGATTGTTTTCCAAACATACATGAAGAGCAAACTGTAGGTACATGTTTAGAACTAGAACCAAAATGCAAACAAGACTTTAAAGAAGATAAAATATTCATGCCCAGATGACCAAGCCGATGGTGCCATAGGTCACTAGTAGTTGCAGTAACGGTTGATGGAGGCGTAACTTGGGAAGATGACATGAATATGTATGGGTAAATATCCCCGATACTATTGCAACAGATGATGGGAGTCCGCGTCTGGAATCCTTCACATCAAACCGAACGGGTCAAATTCAACGGAAATATTAATGTCAACAGTAATCCGATTAATAAATAAGGGTTTTTAATTACGTTAAGTGTGTGAAGAACATTTTTAAGAAGTAAAAGGGGGAATGGATATCGAAGGGTTTGATGGCTTGTACCTTGGATTGGAATAGTTGAACCATTACCTATAATTACGTTTCGGTAAAGACCATTATTGACATAAGACATGAAGTTACTTGAGTTATGAGTCATATGAGATATTGCGCCAGTGTCAGCATACCAAATTTGATCAAATTTTATCAGGTGGGTGGAGGGTCATCGTGTGGAACGCTTGCTCGGTGGGTGGGAAGATGACATGAATATGAATGGGTAAATATCACCGATACTATTGCAACGGATGATGGGGGCGTCCGGAAGTCCTTCACATCAAACCGAACGGGTCAAATTCAACGGAAATATTATTGTCAACAGTAATCCGATTAATAAATAAAAGGTTTTTAATTATGTTAGGTGTATGAAGAACATTTTTAAGAAGTAAAAGGGGGAATGGATATGGGAGGGTTTGATGGCTTGTACCTTGGATTGGAATAGTTGAAACATTACCTACAATTATGTTCTAATAAAGACCATTATTGATGTAAGACATGAAGTTACTTGAGTTATGAGTGATATGAGATGTTGCGCCAGTGTCAACATACCAAATTTGATCAGGTGGGTAAAGGGTCATCGTGTAGAACGCTTGCTCAGTAGGTGTGTAGCTTGCCTCCGAGGAGGAGTAGGCTTGTTGAGGTTAAGATCGACTGCCAAAGATACCAAGGCCATTAGGAGGAGGCTTACAGGAGCCATAAGGTTAAGTTAGGTATGGGCATGGTGGGTAAGCCTATGGGGAGTAGTTAGGAAAAGCTCATGGAGGCAGTATGGACCAGGGTTTATAGGGACGAGAACCTGACTCGTATGACGACTGATGAGGGTTGTTGTTTGACCCACGTCCTCATTCGTTCGGGGATCCATCGTTATATAAAAGGTGATGTATCAAATAGAAGGTTGAAGAAAGGTTGAAGAATAGGCGCTTAATCGGAAATAATAGATTTGGTAGCTCTGATACCATGTTAATGGTATGCTATCTCTTGTGTAATTTATTATGATAATCATCAAAATATATATACAAGAACTGGCCCTCACTATTTATGGATATACTATGAATATATAATATTTTATATGAGAAACAAACATTCCTTTATCTAAGGGATTAATATCTGGTCT